TAAGAGAATTCTAACAAAAAAATTTTTTTACTGTAATCTCATTTGCGATTCTTTGGGCATGTTTATCGAACAAACTAGGATGGGTGCTGTAAGACAAGGGTGTGTAGGCCCTTTTGATGTAACAGTAAAACGATAGTTTACTGAAATTTGTGAGGAGGGAGTGAGAGTGCGTGGAGGATGGACCGTTCCCTACGCTCGCAGAAGTAGAATGTGTTCTATCTTAGGAAATACTCCGCACTCCGCCCACTCGAGAAGCCACTCGAGGGAGAGGAGTTGGTCGGTTGCAGTATTGCAGGGTGTCGTCGACGACACCTCACTCCTTGGAGGTACGAGAACGACCCGAGCATTCTGCTGAGGAATAACATCCAGAGGGTACCGCGATGCCTCAATAGCTTACCTGAGATCTTCCGCAATAGTTTACTGCTTACCAGTAGCGTAGATTTGCCTCACAACCATCTCAGATGTTTCATAAAGAATTTTGATCCGAATTGCTTCGTCCAATCGCAATACATTGATTTCGTTGATTTAAACCACTGTTTGGCGGATCGGCTGCAAAGGCTGGCAGCGTTGTCGTAAATGAGGATGAAATTCTACCGGTGTTCCCACTTAGGAACGGTAGGAAATCAGAAAAAATTATTGCCGAAGAACGCCGGACCGCCATCATCTGCGATATCCATACGGCACGTCTTAATTAAATTTTCCTATTGGGAGACAGAACCCAAACTCAACAAAGCATTAAACTAGTACCATAATGAAAGTGGCTCCCTATCCTTTAGAACAACTTGCTGAATCACAGTTCATTCTCATGCTCCCTTGAGCAGATTCGAAGCGAGCTGTTTTACGGTGCTTACCAAGTCGTGGGACCCTGAGCACAATGCTTTTTAGAGCCAAGTTGGAAGCTCTGTAGTGGTAGATTTTGATGAAAAAAGTGGAACCTCATGCCGGATCTGGTTGACTGACATGGCAGAATCAGAGTCAGCCGCCCGTTGCGCAAAGGTCACCAAGAGTGTCGTATTTGGCCAATGGAAAGGGCTGTCGTAAGTTTAAGTACCAGTCACAAAATCTGAAGGTCTCAAGGCATGGTAAAGTGGCAAAGGAGGACGGAATTTCAATTACTACAGCGATTATATTACTTACCCCTGACGACAGAATGGCGCATCCCAGAGGAGGAGATTTTGATGAATCACTTCATATTCCAGTTAGCATGTGCAAACATGCTTCATACAGGGAATCCTTGATGCTTTCAGTCCAAGTCAAAGGATTCGGCAATGCAACAAATTCGGCGGATTGACTGCTAGACTCCTAATTCAAAATTTCGACAAGAAAAGGTTTCATTTTAGAGCTTAAAAATCCAGTATATGCTATAAGGCACTGATCATGTTGATTTCGATGCTTTTTACTGCTACCATGATACCAGTTTGGTAGAACTCCTTGGCGTTCGAAGGTTGAAGCCTCGCGTTTCAAAAGAACGGCCTAAAAACCCATAGAGGGAAAAAACGGAACAACGAATAGTTGACCTTCTCGAAAGTCCCAGTATTCGTTCAAAATCTCTAATCTTCGGGTTTCCAATTAGCTTTGGAGATCTGCTAAAAGGTTGATTATGAAGGAAAGTTATGAACGTTTGAATGTCGAAAACTCGCGCCTTCTCAAAAATCGGACCCAAACCCCTGCAAACGGAACAACGGGACTATTTTTTGAGAGAGTGGTCTTGGAAAAAGTTTTGGCACTTGTTTGAGAAGCGCTAATCTTCTAGTTTC